GCCAGATGTAGGTGAAGGGGAGGAAGGCAGCAAATCACACCGAAACGTGTGTACCTATGCAACTATGTTGCATGTTCTTCACATGTACCCCAAAACCTAAAATGCAAAAAAAAAAAAAATATATATATATATATAAAATAAAATAGAGAAGAAAAAAAAGAAAGAAAATGTGACATATGTACACAGTGGAATACTATTTAGCCATAAAAAAGAATAAAATCATGCAATTGACAGCAACATGGATGAAAACATTAAGTGACATTAAGTGTAATAATTCAGGCACAGAAAAATAACTACTGTATGTTCTCACTCATATGGAAGCTAAAATTTAAAAAAAAAGTTTTTGGAAGTAGAGAGTAGAATTGTGGGTAACAGAGGCTGAGAAAGGTAAGCAGGAGTGGAAGATGGGGAGAGGTTGTTTTATGGATACGAAATGATAGCTAGATAGGGGGAATAAATTCTAGTGTTCTGCATTGTAGGGTGAATATGGTTAACTTTTCTTTTTTTTTTTTTTTTCAGACAGAGTCTCACTCTGTCACTCAAGCTAGAGTACAGTGATGCAATCTCAGCTCACTGCAACCTTTGCCTCTGGTTCAAGCCATTATGCCTCAGCCTCCCTAGTATCTAGGATTAGAGGTGTGCACCACCACACCTGGTTTGGTTAACTAATAGTTTTAAATAGCTAGAGGAGTGGATTTTCAAAGTTCACAGCACAAAGAAATGGTGAATGTTTGAGGTGATGGATATGTTATAGTCTTATTTGACCATTACACATTGTTTACACATATCGAAATATCACTGTGTATACCATAAATATGTAGTTATACAAGTCCACAAAAAACAAAAGGAAGCCAGGTGTGGTGTCACAGGCCTGTGATCTCAGCTACCTGGAAGACTGAGGCAGAAAGAATTCCTGAGCCATGGTGATCAAGGCCAGCCTGGGCAACATAGCAAGACATCATGTTTAAAAAAACACACACACACACAAATAAAAGTAAAAGCAAAATAATTCATCCTATACATAGACTATGGGTGAAACTTAACGGCTTGCTTCTAATGAACAGAATGTGTTAAAAGTGATAACACAATGTTGCTTCCTACATTAGGTTTGAAGAGGCTCTCTACCACAGACTGCTCGCCTTGAAACCCAGCCCCCATGTTGTGAGGAAACTTAGCCACAAAGAGAGCCTAGGAGTTCCAGTGTAGAATATTTGGGTATCCTGCCCCAACTAAAGTTCCAACCAATAGCCGCTGTAAGCAACAGACATCTTAGTGAACAAATCTTCAGATGATTCTAGTCCCTCAGCCTTTGACTTATCCCAAGTGAAGCTGAAGGGAGCAGAGGGAAGCTGCCCTGGCCAAGGTTTTCCCAAACCACAGATTGGTGAACTAAACAAACGTTCTAAGCCACTCAAATTTGGGTAATTTGTTAGGAAAAAATAACCAGAAAAATAAATTTAAACAAGGAGATAATAAGCGATAGAATAACAGACCCAGTAGAAATTAGTCTCCTTTAAAGTAAGAGCTAACAAATGTTGAGGTTAATTTATTAATGACAAACAACTCTAATGGGAAGCAGCAGAACTTTTCTAACTGTATGAATTAGGAAAGCAAATTTATACGATAAATACATATAATTTATATGATAAACTTCCTCCTCAGTGGTTCTTATGTCTTTCTTATGAGAAAGAAACCAGGTGCTGGGTCTTCTCATAAGAAAGACATAAGAACTACTGAGGAGGAAGTTTAGAAAAAGTTCCCATTGATTACAAATTCCAATGACTAAGCCAGTGAGCCTTTTAGAATTTGTCCCCCGAGTTATGAAATAAGGAAGATGAGGAAGGAAGGAGATATATAATTTGAAGTATAAAGTTGAAAAAACTAGAAATATTTGATTAATAACCAAAAATCAGACATTGTACCTGATTCAAGGAACTAAAATTTTAAAAGTGATCAGCAGCTTTGGATATTTATTCATCAATCTAGGATTCAATCTTCATTTTCATTTCCTCAATGAGGAAATTAAAAAAATTATGGAATCAGTTTTAACAATCTCGAAAGTAAAACAAATGTAGTGTCCTTTGAGTGTTAAGATATTCAATGCAATTTCCCCTTAACTCATTTGTATGGAGAAGGGAAGAGCAGCTCATCTTTATATTGTAACAAAATGCTTTTCCATATCATATAAATTGGCTCTGAAATTTTGAAATTCATACAACTAATTCAACTCTTTGTTCCTGATAAATGCCTGGACATTACCTGATTTCCAGTTGCTGCACTCCTGAAAGTTGTTCTTTGAATAGGTTGAAGTATTTATTCAATGAATTATGTATTGAGCTAGAAAAGCATAGCTACTCATCTACATTTAAGCAAAAGGAGGTAAATGCAGGGAACTCTGGTTTCTGAGAATGTAGGATCTGTGCAAGAATAGAATTTAGCCCCACAGTTGTATAAGAGAACCAGGTGCTGGGTCAAAAGAGGATCTAACTGTGAACTGCAACATGATAAATTAGCTCAGTTTCCAATGAGGAAAGATGACAGCCCAGACTTAATCTTGAGCTTCATAGATAGTTCAAATCTACACATGACTCCATGACTTATAATGAGCTAATGAAACATAATGCAATAAATAGTTGACACAGTCAGCAGATCCTGTGGCCAAGAATTGACGGAAATGGGAGTGAAGAGAGAGGCACTGGGTGAGAGACAAAAGGTGTGACTGGAGAAAAAAAATCAATGGGATCTGTCTTTGCAAGCCTGACTCTCATCATGTCATGGAATCAGCAAGGCATAAGCTGGCCATACACTCCTTCAAGAAGCATAAAGTGAAATTAAAGACATTCTACTACTTGAATTTCTATTCTTACATAAGACAACTCATAATAAGCAACAGGACTGAAAATGAATTCTCCTAAAATGTGATTCGGTACTGGCATAAATGTGATTCAGTACTGGCTCAACATATTAGAATCAAGAATCCAAAAAGAAACCTACATTTTTATAGTCAACTGATTTTCAACAAGGGTATTAAAAAAAATGAGAAACAAATAGATTTTTCAACAAATGGTGCTGGGACAACTGTATATCCAGGTGCAAGAGAATAAAGGTGGATTTCCACCAAATGTCATATATAAAACTAACAAAATAGAACCACTAAAATTATAAAATTCCTAGGAGAAAACATAGCCATAGATCTTTGTGACTGCAGAAAAATAGATTAACTGGACTTCATCGAAATGCAAAACTTCTGTGCTTGAATAGAGACCATTAAGAAAGAAAAAGGAGGTTGGGCATGGTGGCTTACATCTGTAATCCCAACATTTTGGGAGGCTGAGGTGGGAGGATTGCTTGACCTCAGTTCAAGATCAGCCTAGGCAACTTAGTGAGAACTTCTCTCTACAACTTAAAATTATAGAAATTTTAAAAACATAATAAATCGTAAGAAAGAGAGTAAAAAGGAAAGCCATTGAAAATATTTGGAAACAATATATCTGATAAGGGACATACACCTAGAGTATATAAAGAGCTCTTAAAATTCAGAAATTTAAGATAACCCAATTTTAGAGTGGGCAAATGATTTGAATAGACATTTCCCAAAGAAGATATACAAATGGCTCATAAGCACATGAAAAGAGGCTTACAGTCATTCATCATTAGGGAAATGTGAATCAAAACCACAATGACATGATACCACTTTATACCTCTGGGTTGGAATCCTTTTTAAATCAAAAATATGAAAAATGCTGGCAAAGATGTGAAGAAGTTAGAACCTTCATACAATGCTGATGAGAATGTAAAATGGTGCAACCACTTTGAAAAGCAGACTGTCAGCTCCTCAAAAGCCTAAGCATTGAGTTACTATAGGACCCAGAAATTCAACTCCTAAGTATATACCCAAGAGAAGAACACATACGCAAACACAAAAACTTGTACATAAAAGGTCACAGCAGGATGATTAATAGCCAAAACATGGAAACAACCCCAAGGTCCATCAACTGATAAATGGCTACATAAAATGAATGGTACGTCCATACAGTGGAACAATACTCAGCAGAAAGATGAAATTAAGTACTGATACATGTTACAACACAATGAACCTTCAAAATGTTATACTAAGTAGACGAAGCCAGACACAAAAGACCACCACATATTGTGTGATCCAGTCGATATGTGGTGTCCAGAATGGGCTAATGTATGGAAACAAAATAGATTGCTGGTTCTTTTGAGGGTCATGAAAATGTCCTATAATTGATGATGGTGATGTTTATGCAACACTGTGACTATACTAAGAGGCCATGATTTGTATGCGTTCAATGGGTAAACTGAGTGGTATAAGAATTTTGTCTCAGTAAAGTTTTTTTTAAAAATTCAGTGGTAGGATCTAGATACATCTCTTAATTCTCTACTTTGGATATACATACTGTAGGTGATTTGTAAAAAAGCACAATATATTTAAAATGAAAGGTAAATGAAGGAAGTGCCTAACATGTCAAGTAGTTTATAAACTAAAACATTTGCATTTTGGAGAACAGTACTATGGCCTTTCTGTACAAGTCATCCTGAAATTCATGAAATAAATATACACAGATTCTGTACCCATTTACAAAAGTAAAGATAAGAAATAAGACAATTTCTGAAACATTCCATTAAACATTATCCTATGATTTAATCTGGCTTACCTAACCATGGCAATAGAGAAATCACTAAAAATACTTCACAGGAAAAAAAAAAAAAGCCTCTCAACTTCTGTGAGGAATACTAATAATTCCCAGCTTTCCTAAGGATCTTTGGAAATGATCCTTATTTTAAAAATGTATGTACTTATCAGGAGAAAAGGATAGAATGAAAGCCAGAGGTTAAGAAAAAAGTGCATCATAAAGATAATAAAATTATCATAAAAATACAAAGGAAAGCCATCCACTTCAATCAGTATCCTAAAGCATTTGACACCATTTCACCACCTATAGATTAACTGTAGACATGTTAGGTTTCATACATACTTCACTGCTGCTTTGACCCAATTTCTTCTTTGAATCCTGTGTCTCATCTAAATTAAATGATGTAGCCTCTGCTGTAGGTTGTTGTTTTAGGGGATCAGTCCATTCTAGTTGGTGTTGTCTCATAACTACCTGTGAAAGTATTTTTGTTACTGATTGTATCAATCACCTGATTGTTAAATTGTGGTAATAATATTTAGCTCTAACATATACACTTTGAAAAACATCAACACATATGTGGATTCACCTTTTCCTTGTGTGTGCACATTCTTGTTTATTACTGAATTCAGTTAAGGACACAGAAGGTGCTACCTTTCTGCCAAATCAGTTTTCTGTTAACTTAGACAATAGATTCACCCACTATTCACTCATCCCTGAAACATCTGCAATGCTTAACAACCTACTGAAGTCTCAAAAAGAAATCGGGTGGGGCTGCTGGTGGTACATCCCACACTGTGAAATGTTTTTCCCTCTTTTTTATTAGAAGCTCCAATCAACTTCAGAGTTCCTTGCATATTCCGTTGCCTGCTCAGATCCTTCCAAAAGATTCCTATCTCAGAATACAAGTAAAATTGCAATGGCCTTTGAGGCCCTGGGTTACCTGGCCTCTACCTCCCTCCTGACCTCAGCTTCTACAAGTGTCTCCCCTACTCAGTCCATTCTCACTATATGTGAATCCTGCCACCTCTCATTAGTTTAAAAATGGGGACTCAATGCCAAACAAATAAATCACAGATAAACACAGTTACCTTTGTACTGGTCAAAGTTATATCCGAATGACAGGCAGTGAGCCTTGAAATGAAAATTATGAGCAAACTGTTTGTAAAAACATTCAAAGAAATTATAAATACCAGTGGTAAGATTATATTTAACATAGCTTTGCTGAAATTCACATCTGCCCCAAATTATGATTTATTAAAAAGTAAATGCCTTTAAAGAATTGAGAGGTCATAACTAGTAATTTGAGACTGAAATCATCTCAGATTTAAGTCAAATTGATATGAATAAAAATAGAATTATACCAACTTAAATACATTGCAAAACTACTGAAGGAAAACTATTGTGGAAAAATATACTGAAGTATAGTAGTATACTTCAGTTCAACTGGAAAATCTGGAATTAATGGTCAAAGTAACCCTTCTAGCTGAATCTTAATTTCAAAATACCCATGTCAGGTATAAGCATTCTGTTTATCTGCTTCACCATGGTCTCCAAACATGGCCATATAGGCATTGCAATGATCATTTCAGCAGCGTAAGACAACACTATGAACGTTAATCTGTACCTACTAACACTGTAACTGAGCTTACAATTTCACAGTAACACAATTTCTTCACTCAAAGTAAAGTATCTTTGTTTTAACAGCAAATACATTTATGATCTATATATTTTTATATTCACCTAGATAAAACATTTAGCCATAATCAAATATTACTTTAAATTTTCTTTTAGGAAGGTTGAAAAATATTTATCTTTCTTAATACTTACTTCCTCATTCTCTTGTAGTAGAAGACTCTGCTTTTCACTCTGAGATTGAATATTACTGGCAAGAGCCTGAAACTGGTCATGGAGAGAACTGATTGTCTTTTCTTGTCTGTTCACTTTCTTGTGAGCATCACCCAGTTGCTGTCGAAGCAACGTATTTTTATTTTGTAATTGAAATAATCTCTCTTCTACAGATTCCTGCTTTGCAATGTATTTCTTCAGTTTTCTTTGTTGAATTTGGTGCATTTGTTCAATTTCTTTCTTCTGACACTGTGTTTGGCCGAGGTCTCTTTGCACATGTTCCAAAATCAAATTCTGTTCTCCAACAGCATCTCTTGCATTATCGAGCTGAATTTGTAGGCTGATTTTATTTTCCACATTAGAATGTTTTTCAGAAAGAACCTCATTCCTAGCTCGTAGGTCAGACATATCAGCCTTCATTTTGTCCTGTAAGCCACAAAAATAGTTATAAAGAGCAGAGGAGCAAGTAAACCACCCCTCTTCAGGCCTAAATTGCCTGAAGTTAGCTAAAGGAGACCCAGCATAGCCTCCTCCTTCCAAGATAAGGTACCCAAGCATATCTTTGTACCCACAGCTCACAAGCATATTTCTGCCAAAAAAAGCCCAAAAAAACAAAAAACCTGTTCTCTTCCCCAGCTACCAGCCGTGGGAGCGAGATAACCACACAGAAAATATACATATTCTCAAGGTTGTAAACTTGTCACAAGTCAATGACTAACTGTCTTTGTTTAAACCTATTTTTTTCTCCTGCTTTATCTTCCCATGCCAAAACTAATATAAGCAGTGAATTTTCCTTTGTGTGGGGCTGGCAGGCATTACAGGCAGTAAGGCCGCTGTCAGCTGGAGCTCCAATAAAGAGGTTCTCTTGTGTCTCTTGGTCTCTCTGTTCTTCTCAGCATGAATTTCCACAACAGACAGAGGAAATTTCCCAATGTTCCTTAAGTTCTTTTTTTTTTCCTGAGAATATCCTGTAGATATTTTATTTTTCTACCATTTTTATTGTCAGTTATATAAGAATTACATTTATTCAAGGCCGGGCGCGGTGGCTCAAGCCTGTAATCCCAGCACTTTGGGAGGCCGAGGCGGGTGGATCACGAGGTCAAGAGATCGAGACCATCCTGGTCAACATGGTGAAACCCCGTCTCTACTAAAAATTACAAAAAAATTAGCTGGGCATGGTGGCGCGTGCCTGTAATCCCAGCTACTCAGGAGGCTGAGGCAGGAGAATTGCCTGAACCCAGGGGGCGGAGGTTGCGGTGAGCCGAGATTGCGCCATTGCACTCCAGCCTGGGTAACAAGAGCGAAACTCCGTCTCAAAAAAAAAAAAAAAAAAAAAAAAAAGAATTACATTTATTCATAAATGCTAAATATAAGCATTATATTACTTGCTTTTTTTTTTTTGAGACAGGGTCTCACTCCATCACTCAGGTTAGAGGGCAGTGGGACAATCAAGACTCACTGCAGCCTTGGTTTTCTGGGCTCAGGTGATCCTCCCACTTCAGCCTCCTGAGTAGATGAGACTAGAGGTGCACATCCCAACACCCGGCTAAATTTATTTGTAATTTTTGTAGAGATAGGGTTTTGCCATGTTCTGGAACTCCTGAGCTCAAGTGACTCACCCACCTCGGCCTCCCAAAGCAATGGGATTACAGGCGTGAGCCACTGCACCTGGCCTTGTACCAAGCACTTCTACATACATCACTGAGCTCATTTATATCATAATTCTGAAAGGAGAGGTCAAAAATATGCAAGCTGCAGGATTTTCCCCAGGTCCTCTTACTTTACTTCTAGTGCTCGTCCACCAAATCATGGTTACTTCTGTGTTGTAAATATGTAAATATAAAAAAAGCTTTTTATTTCAAAACACCAGTGGTAAAAAAGAAGTTATAGAGCTTTTCTTAGAAAATCCTCAGACTATCTGTTATTGCAATAACTTCTGTTTCCTCTTTACAGTGTTTGAAACAGAAATAAGCATGAAACAGGGAAAAATACACTGAAGTAGTTTTCTAAGAACAAAATAGTTATCAACAAATCATCACTAAGTTTCTGTTATAGCATATCATTGTTTTCAAAGCTCTTTGTGCTGAAATGAGATGCTACTTGGAGCAAACTGTGACGTCCCCAAAAGTAAGGGGTATGGCATCTGAAGTACCGCCTCTGAACTGGCTATACATTTCATCCTTACTACCAGTAGAAATAATCATCTAACCTCTCCATTAATATATTAGAAAGATGAAATCATGTCTGAAAGCTGGAATGTTTGTTGTTAGCAAGGGTTTTGAGATTGTGGAAAGATCATTAATTCCTATGAATAATAACAAATGTTTCTCCTTTGGATAAGGCCACTGTGAAAGTCACTACTTGACCCTTGCAGACAAATGAAGTTGAATTAAGAAAATGACGTTATACAATGGGCCGAAAATTCCAGAACCACTGTCACCACCCCCAAATATGTGTGTGTGTGTGTGTGTGTGTGTGTGTGTGTGTGTGAGATTCAAAAATCCATTAGAATTCCAAGTTGCATAGAGTTGTTTTTAAAATTATATTCACCTACAAAAACATATCTGAAAATGGCCAAAGAAAATACCTCAGAATCCATTTTCTTTTGAGCCGTTTCTAGCTCCTTTTGTTTACTGGTCAGAATCTGATCTTGTACTATTCTGGCATTCTGTTCTTCAAAAAGTTGCTGCTGCTTGACATAGAGATAACATAGAAGTGTTTGTCTAATAGCACTGAAAAAAAAGACTAAAAGGTTAATTAAGAGCAGAGCCTCACTTGACTGAGCATGGTGGCTCATGCCTGTAATCCCAGCACTTTGGGAGGCCAAGGTCTGAGGATCATGAAGTCAGGAGATGGAGACCATCCTGGCCAACATAGTGAAACCCCATCTCTACTAAAAATACAAAAATTAGGCATGGTGGTGCACGCCTGTAGTCCCAGCTACTTCGGAGGCTGAGGCAGGAGAATCACTTGAACCTAGGAGGCAGAGGTTGCAGTGAGCCGAGACTGCACCACTGCACTGCAGCCTGGATAACAGAGTGAGACTCTGCCTAAAAAAAAAGGAAAAAAAAAAAAAAAAAAGAGCAGATTAAAGAAAGTAGCCTGTTAAAACACAAGAACTTTTATCCCTCAAGAATCACTCAAATCTTAATTGCATACATAACAATTACATTTGTCAAAGAGGAAAAACAGTTCTTAAATACGGGAAGATACAGCATTGTAAAATAAAATTTCTTTCAAAACATTTAACTAGTGTCATTATAGTTTCAAAGCTATTTAGCCTGTATTTTAACATAAAAATGTGTAAACTCATTTAGTGATTAAACTCTTCTTCCATTCTGAAAACATAAACTGAGCATCTATTTAGATGCCAAGGTTTACAATAAATAATTTTAGCTATAAATGTCATAGTTCATTTTTAAGAGGAGATAACAGTTTTGGTTTGTTTTAAACCTAAATGATATACACGAAGCCAAAAAAAGTATAAGCAATACTGATGAAACATTAAGTTAGAAATATGAAGTTTTCACCAAAGATTAATTTACCAGATCCAAGTTGTTTCTTACCATCCTCAATTCCTTAATGAGTTTTCTCAGAGTCCATTGAAGTTCTTGAATCATTTCAGCCTTTCCCCTACATTCCTCTTCTTTTATTCTTAACTGTTCATTAACTTTATTACACAACATTTCGGCATTTTCTTTCTTCTCTTTTTCTTGTTTTAAGGCAAGTCTGCAGTTAAATATGGATATTAAAATGTGTTTTGTTAGAAAATAAACATGTTTATTTTGTCATCTGGCTCTTCCATGTGGGTTTATAATCCTCATAAAAACTCCTATGTTCTTGTTTCCTTTCTAGTTCTCATGTTTTTAATTTCTCACTCCATTCTCTTCCAAGGGCCATATATGTTAGCGAAGTAGCGAGGAAAGAAACATTCTGTTAACTGGTAAGTTTCTGTTACTAGTAAACCTGTGAAGAGCATATTTGAATTTTCTCAGCAAAGTTACAAGTTGAAAATTACTTCTTTTTCATGTTTTGCAAATTGAAAATTAGTTAATTAGATCATTTAGAGTTAGCTAATTTAAAAGAAGTTACTATTTACAAACAAGTTTAGAAATTCACTGGAAATACATTTTCCTCTTTATGAAATATTGTATGTGTAGCCTGAAAAATGACTTACAGTGTAAGATAACACCTTCAGATGTCATTCACACAACGTGTGTCTGCAGACTCCTATAATCCAAGACTAGGCTAAGCTGTTTAATAACTGTTACCTCCATACTTTTATGTCTCTCATTTTGGTAACACTTTCAACTTATCTTCTTGATTCTTATGCATTTTATAAACAATATTTAAATACCTTTTGGAACAAGACAGGATCTAATATTTAATTTAAAAGTAAAGGATAATGTGTGTTTCAACATATAATTTGGAATTAATTTTATCTGCATACGAAGATGTGGAATAAACTAATCATCAATTACTTTCCATTTTACTTTTTATTTCACGCATATTTAGAATGAAACTGGGAAGTCCTAGCCAGAGCAATCAGTCAAGAGAAAGAAAGAAAGTACATCCAAATTGGAAAAGAGAAAGTCAAACTATCTGTTTGCCCAAGAGATAATCTTTTAGCTTAGAACACCCTAAATGCTCCTGGATTTGATCAATGAAATCAGTAAAAGTCTCAGGTTACAAAATCAATGTACACAAATCAGTAGCACTAGTATACATCAAGAATGGCCAAGGTGAGAATCAAATCAAGAACCTAGTCCCTTTTATGATAGTGACGGCAACAACAACAAAAACTTAACCTTTTAGGATCTTTCACCTCCTTGGTAACCAAGATGAAAGATCTCTAAAAGGAGAACTACAAGGCACTGCTGAAGAGATCTTTCATAGGAAAAAAAAAAATCACAGATGACACAAACAAATGGAAATATGCCCTTTGTTCATAGAAGAATCAATATATTGAAAATGACCATATTAACCAAAGCAATTTACAGATTCAATGCAATTCCCCTATCAAAATACTACTGTCATTCTTTATAAAATTAGAGAAAGTACTTCTAAAATTTAAAGGGAATAAAAAAAGAGCTCGACTAGCTAAAGCAATCCCAAGCAAAAAGAATGAAGCCAGAGGCATCACAATACCAGATTTCAAATCACACGAGAAGCCTAAAGTAACCAAAACAGCATGGTACTGGTATAAAAGTAGATACACAGACCAGTGGAACAGAATACAGAACGTAGAAATAAAGCCAGATATGTATAACCAACTGACCTTTCACAAAGTGTACAAAGACATAAACTGGGCAAAGAACACCCTATTCAATAAATGGTGTTGGGAAAATTGAATAGCCACGTATAGAAGAATGAAACTGGATCCCTATCTCTCACCATATATAAATATTAACTCAAGATGGATTAGGCCCTAACATGGTGGCTTCTCTCTGTAATCCCAGCACTTTGGGAGGCCAAGGCTGGAGAATGGCTTGAGCCCAGGAGTTCAAGACGAGCATGGACAACATAGTGAGATCTTGTCTCTACCAAAAAATATTTTTTAATTAAAAAAGAGGTAAATTAAAAACTTAAATCTATAACCTGAAACCACAAAAAAATCTGGAAGAAAGTGTAGGAGAAAACTCTTCTGGACACTGGCCTAGGCAAATTATTTATGACAAAGACCCCAGAACAAAAAGCAACAAAAACAAAAATAAATACATGGGACCTAATTAAATGAAAAGTCTTCTGCACAGCAAAATAAATAATCATAAGAGTAAACAGACAACCTACAGAATAGGAGAAAATATTTGCAAACTATGCATCTGACAAGGGACAAACAAATCAGTAAGAAAAATACAAATAATCCCATCAAAAAGTGCACAAATGGCATGAACAGACATTTCTGAAAAGAAGATGCACAAATGGCCAACAAACACAGTTAAAAATTCCCAACATCACTAATATTCAGGGAAATGCAAACTAAAACAACAAGGAGATATCATCGTATCCCAGCCAGCATCCTCATTATTAAAAGGCTGAAAAACAATAGAAAAATGTTGGTACAGATGTGGTGAAAAGGGAATGCCTGCTCATACCTCGCTGATGGGAATGAAAATTAGTACAACCTCTATGAAAAACAGTAGGGAGATTTCTCAAAGAGCTAAAATAGAGCTACCATGTACTCCAACAATCCCCTATTGAGTATCTACCCAAAGGAAAAGAAATCATTACATCAAAAAGACACCGGCAAATGTATGTTTGTTTACTGCAGCACATTTTGCAATTGCAAAGATATGAAATCGACCTAAGTGTCCGTCAACCAGTGAATGGAATAAATGATACGTGGTATATGTACACCGTGGAGTACTACTCAGCCATAAGAAGAATGAAGTAATGCCTTTTGCAGCAACTTGGAAGGGACTGGAGGCCATTTTTCTAAGTGAAGTAACTCAGGAATGGAAAGCCAAATAAAAACACGTTCTCATTCATAATAGGGAGTTAAGCTATTCATCCATGTAACCAAAAACCACTTGCATCCCCTAAAGCGATGAAATACACCAAAGTTCTGAAAAACCGTAAAAGTGTAGACATTTTTTAAAAATTACTTTGGTTTTAGAAAAGTGGTCAATTCATGCTCTATTGGTTGGACTGTAAATTAACACAAACATTCTTGAGAAAAATGAATATTGATCAAAGGTCTTTTTTAAAAAGTTCCTGTATTTCAACCTAATAATTCTATATTGGATAATTTATTCAAAGCAAACAGTTTCGAAATGCGAGATTTATATAAAAAATGTTATGGGCTGGGCATGACGCTCATGCCTGTTATATTAATGACTTGGGAGGCCAAGGCAGAAGGAATGCTTGAGGTCAGGAGGTGGAGATCATCTTGAGCAATGTAGTGAGATCCTGTCTCTACAAAAAACTTAAAAAGTTAGCCAGGCATGGGAACAGGCACCTGTAGTCCCAACTACTTAGGACTCTGAGGCAGGAGGATGAAGTTCGAGGCTGCAGGGAGGTATGATCACACCACTGAACTCCAGCCTCAGGCACAGAGTGAGACCCTGTGTCTATAAATAATAATAATGAGAAAAGATGCTCCTTACATCATTAATTATAAATACAAGATAATTTCAAAACTCAAATTGCAATTCGTTAAATGAATAACAAGATTTCATATGATGGACTTCTACATGGCCATTAAGATTGCAAAGACTATGCATTTATTTGTTAGCAGAAGAGTTCACAGTTAAAATAATTTATTATTTCCAAGAATTTCATGTTCCACAAGACCAAGAAGGTTTCTTCCATTAATCCCCAGAAGGCAAGTCAGAAATTATAAAAATTCTAATATATTATCTTTAGTATAAATATTTCTTTAAAACTACAATGTGGCACAGATATACCATGGAATACTATGCAGCCATAAAAAAATGAGTTCAAGTCCTTTGCAGGGACATAGATGAAGCTGGAAACCATTATTCTCAGCAAACTGACACAAGAACAGAAAGCCAAACACCTCATGTTTTCACTCATTAACACATGGACACAGGGAGGAACACATCATACATCGGGGCCTATTTGGGGGTTTGGGGTCTACAGGAGGGATATCAGGAGGTTGGGGGGCTAGGGGAGGGATAACATTAGGAGAAATATCCAATGTAGATGATGGGGGGATGGATGCAGCAAACCAACATGGCACGTATATACCTATGTAACAAACCTGCATGTCCTGCACGTGTACCCCAGAATTTAAATATAATAATAAACAAAACAAACAAAAACTAGAGTGTCATACCTCAACCTGCGCAGCTCTAGTTCCCATTCAATCTTCTGATGCTCTAACTGTAATTTTGTCTCTTTTGTTTCGGAGAGCTCCTTTTGTAGTACACTAACCATATTTCCCATTTGTTTAATTTCTGCTGTAAGTCGTTCATCCTCATTATTCTTAAGTTCCAGGGAGTCTTCATATAAATGAAATTCACCCTCAATTCTTGATAGGCTAACAGACTCTGTGTCAGGGAGAAAACAAGGTGGAAATAAAATATGTGAGTACTTTTTAGGTAAAAAGGACTGTGCATTTTTAAACACTGTCTCCTTCATACACAGAACAAACAGGCACTGAGTGCCTACAGTGTGGCAGATATTCCACTAAGCTCTGCAGGTAAAACAAATGAGACCTCTACTCTCATTTAGTCTTAAGTGTAGTGGGGAACGAAGACAACAAAAGTGACAATTATAAATTCACATAGATGGTGTAAGAAAACAGAGTTCCATGATCACATAGGAGAATTTGATCTATACTGGGCCCACAAAAGATTTCCCTGAGGAAGAGATGACTTCACCAAGAAATCAAGGGTGAGAAGGAAGCACTTAAGCAAAGGGGTAGAAAAGCATTCTAGCAGTTGACAGCAGGTGCCGACGCTCTGCTGCCATCTGCTTCTGGCCACGATGGACAGCAAGTACTGATTTACCTTCTTGCCTGAAATAACCAAAAGGAAAACAGAAAAAATATATTATACAATGATTTACCAGGCATTGGACTTCAGGTAATGAAGACCATGATCCCGTAAGACAGGAAACAAATGGAATTCATACCGATGCTCCAGCTTCCTGCCTTCACAGAGTTTCCAGGCTATCACACACAGAGAAAAAAGTGACGTAGAGTCTACCAGATTCCCTGAGATGAGACGATGAAGCTGAGAGTCTGGTAAAGCCAAGGCAGGCAGGGGTTACAAAACAGAACACGGGAAAGGAGACAGAGTACAGGGAAAGAACACTGAAGATCTGCAAAAATACCTCCTGGGTATCCAGCAGAGTACTGAACAGTGCATGTGTGCCAGAAAACTGCCCCAGACCAAGGGGAAGAAACATCTAAAAAAAAAAAATGGAAAGAAACACGCCTGCTGCTCATAAGGTGCCAAAAAGAGTGTTCATTCCCATGAGTGATGCTGGGAAGACTCAGACTTCACATGGGAATGAATAGAGCCATCACAAAGATCTTGCCTCAGGAGTGGGAGATTCAACCCAATCATAAAGGGAAGACCGGAAAGATCAAGCTGTTCATATGGAACTAAACTTATATCAAAATTAAGCTCAAGCAGATTGACAGAGGCATGGAAGATACATATTTTTTTGAAGCAAAATGCTCTTGTAGAGATTCAAATTACAATGTCAGGAATGAAAACTACAATGGATGGAAGTGAACAAAGATTAGACATCACCAAAGAGAAGTTTCATAAATTTGAGACATCAGGGAACTACGTGAAAACTTCAAGCAGGAATAAGTCCCAAAAGAGGAAAAAAGAGAGACAGGAAAATAAAAAGAGAATGGCCAAAACTTTTTAAATTTAAAGAAAACTATAACCTACAAATCCAGAAGTGTCTTCTGGCTGGGAGAGAGGAAATAAAAGTATATTATTCTAATTTTCCTTTTTAAAAAAATGTCAATTGGTTTTTGGGGAACAGGTGGTCTTTGGTTACATGAATCAATTTTTTACTGGTGGTTTCTGAGATTTTGGTGCACTCAAGCATCACACAAGCAGCATACACAATATCCAATCCATAGTCTTTTATCCCTCACCCCCCCACAAACTTTGCCCCCAAGTCCCCAACCTCCATTGTATCATTGTTATGTTCTTGCATCCTCATAGCATAGTTCCCGCTTATGAGTAAGAACATATGATGTTTGGTTTTTCATTTGTAATTTTCTTATGCCATATGTGACATGGCATAATATTTTTGAAGATGGACTGTGATCAGTTAAAATCATATACTATAAACTGTAGTGCAACCACTGAGATAAAAAAAATAGTTATCGCTAATAAGCCATAAAAGGGAGATTAAAAATAAATCACACACTGTAGAGTGATGGAGGAAACAGGATGAAGAAGACAGAGGTAAAGAAAGAATTTTGAGAGGTTTCCAAAGATGGCGCTGTGAGAACAACCCAGGATTGAGGCTCTTGCTGGATGTGCGGAGAGGGTGAGTTGGGGACGCATTTCCAGACGGACCTTTGTTGCCCACAGAACGGGGAAATTCCCAGATATAAAACAAACGTGGGACGCCAGCCAGAGATCTTGACTGGTGTAGCCAGCAGCCGGTGCGGCTGCGGCCCGCGCCAGAGCGCAGAGGCGCTCCACAGAGTTCCGCACAAAAGCGCACTGTTCCGGGTGCCCTGTTGAACTGGCAACCTGAGACCTGAGAGGGCTGAACTTGAGACTGAACGGGACTTGAACAGTGAGCCAGCCCAGGACAAAGCGTTAGGGGTAGCGCAGTGCGACAAACAAAACGGTGATTCCAAACACTCGCTGTTAGGAGGTTCCCTTAAAGCGCAGCTCCGTGTAAGAGGGGCGTCTGCCATTACCAAGGCAATCAGCCCCTACTGAGGTACACCCCCATTGCTGACGCAGCCTGCCGTTGCTGAGGCAACCCGGTACAACAGAGAGACTCCGCCGCAGGGCGGAGCCCGTGGCTGCAGGGCGGAGCCCACGGCTGCAGGGCGGAGACTGCAGCAAAAGGGCAGAGCCTGCAGAAACACACCGAACCTCACACCAGCAGGGCAGAGCCTCGGCAGGACAAGACTGCCTCCTAGCTGGGCAGGACAACCTGGCGGACACTCAAAAATAAAGCCCAAACCCCTTCAGAAAGAGCAGCTGCGACAAAAAGGGCTTTTTTATGAGTTCTGTAGCAGCAGAATTAAACATAGCAGCCTAACAGCCCTGAATGAACATCAGAGCTCACAGCTCAGCACTTGAGCTCCTATAAAGTACAGACTGTCTCCTCAAGCAGCTCCCTGACCCCTCTATATCCAAAAGACTGACATTTGGCAGGCATCATTCTGGGACAAAGATAGCAGAAAAAGAAACTGGTAGCATCCCTACTGTTCCGCAGCTGCTATAGGTGTACCCCAGACAAGCAGGGCCTGGAGTGGACCTTTGCAGTCATACAGCGAAGGGGCTAGACTGGTAGAAGGAAAACCAAGCAACAGAAATACTTCATCATCAACAATCTGGGTGTCCACCCAGAGACCCAATCGAAAAGTCAGCAACTACACAGACAACAGGTGGATAAATCCACAAAGATGAGAAGAAACCAGCACAAAAAGGAGGAAAACACCCGAAACCAGAACACCTCACCTCCTAGAAAGGACCAAAACTCCTCACCAGCAAGGGAACAAAGCTGGATGCAGAATGACTGTGACGAAATGATGGAATTAGACTTCAGAAGGTGGATAATGAGAAACTTTTGTGAGCTAAAAGAACATGTTTCAAATCAATGCAAAGAAACTAAGAACCTTGAAAAAAGATTCGAGGAAATGATAACAAGAATGGACAACTTAGAGAGGAATATGAATGAATTAAAGGAGATGAAAAACACAATACGAGAACTTCACAAAGCATGCACAAGTTTCAATAGCCGAATTGACCAAGCAGAAGAAAGAATTTCAGAAGTCGAAGATCAACTCAATGAAATAAAACGAGAAATCAAGATCAGAGAAAAAAGTGCAAAAAGGAATGAATAAAGTCTCCAAGAAATGTGGGACTATGTGAAGAGACCTAACCTACATTTGATAGGCGTACCAGAATGTGACGAAGAGAATGAATCCAAGCTGGAAAATACTCTTCAGGACATTATCCAGGAAAATTTCCCCCACCTAGCAAGACAGGCCAACACTCAATTGCAGGAAATTGCAGAGAACACCACAAAGATATTCTGTAAGAAGAGCAACCCCAAGGCACATAATCGTCAGATTCAACAAGGTTGAAATAAAGGAGAAAATACTAAGGGCAGCCAGAGAGAAAGGTCGGGTCACCCACAAAGTGAAGCCCATCAGACTCACAGCAGATCTCTCGGCAGAAACTCTGCAAGCCAGAAGAGAGTGGGGGCCAATATTCAACATCCTTAAAGAAAAGAACTTTCAACCCAGAATTTCATATCCAGACAAACTGAGCTTCATAAGTGAAGGAAAAATAAAATCCTTTGCGAACAAGCAAGTACTCAGAGATTTTGTCACCACCAGGCCTGCTTTACAAGAGCTCCTGAAAGAGGCACTACACATAGAAAGGATCAACCAGTACCAGCCATTCGAAAATCACACGAATTGCTAAAGAGCATCAACATAATGAAGAATCTACAACAACTAAGGGGCAAAACAGCCAGCTAGCATCAAAATGGCAGTATCGAATTCACACATAACAATACTAACCCTAAATGTAAATGGACTAAATGCACCAATCAAAAGACACAGACTGGCAAATTGGATAAAAAGCCAAAACCCATCAGTGTGCTGTATCCAGGAAACCCATCTCACATGCAAGGATACACAAAGGCTCAAAATAAAGGGATGGAGGAAGATTTACCAAGCAAATGGAGAGCAAAAAAAGCAGTTGCAATTCTCATCTCTGATAAAATAGACTTTAAAGCAACAAAGATCAAAAGAGACAAAGAAGGCCATTACATAATGGTAAAAGGATCGATACAACAAGAAGAGCTAACGATCCTAAACATATATGGACGCAACACAGGAGCACCCAGATACATAAGGCAAGTACTTAAAGACTTACAAAGAGACTTAGACTCCCACACAATTATAGTGGGAGACTTTAACACCCCACTGTCAATATTAGACAGATCAACCAGACAGAAAATCAACAAGGATATCCAGGGCTTGAACTCAGACCTGGAGCAAGCAAACCTGATAGACATCTATAGAACTCTCCACCCCAAATCCACAGAATATACATTCTTCTCAGCACCACATCACACCTACTCTAAAACTGACCACATAATTGGAAGTAAAGCACTGTACAGCAAATGCAAAACAACTGAAATCATAACAAACAGCCTGTCAGACCATAGTGCAATCAAGTTACAACTCAGAATTCAGAAACCAACTCAGAACCACACAGCTTCATGGAAACTGAACAACTGGCTCTTGAATGTTGACTGGATAAACAACAAAATGAAGGCAGAAATAAAGAAGTTCTTCGAAACCAATTGTTGTGAGAAC